GGATGCGGATCTAAGGAGAGAAATGTTTGAAATGATTAAATAAACAGGTCAAAGGTGTCAGGATTTGAAAAAGATACATTTCTTTTAAATGCAAAAAAAACAAAACAAAATGTTTACAGGTAAAAATATTGATCATATTTCAAAAAAGATATTGGCACCTTAGGGCCCAAACAAAACTCTTTGTGTGCATTAACATCCCCATAATTAGAGTCAGCGTGCGACACTGAAGCTGTCACACGTCGGCTCTATTGATAAAGAACTGAGAGATCGCAAACAGCTGATCGCTCAGTTCCCCATCTTCTCCCTGCAGAGAGTGTTGACGGTCAGCCACGGCTCCCCCCAGGGACTCTCCCTCCCCTCTCTGTGTTCCTCCAGTACTAATTGGAGGTACAGACAGGGGAGGGCAGAGCCTGCTGTCAATTAGGCAGCAGGCTGGATCCTGACAATATTGTCGGGATCTTTCCTGGCTGCAGCATGGCTCTGCGCTGTCAGCATATAGTGGGCAATATGTTGAGTTTTGTGTCACAGGCGGACATTAGTAAATGTCTGTCTGTGACCTGGAAGAGAACCAAGTCAAAAAAAGTTTGGGCCATGGTTCTCTTTTAACCCCTTCATGACTGAGGCCCTTTTTTCATTTTTTGCACCCATGTTATATTCCACATTTTAGGCCTGAAAATGACTTAAAACCCCCCAACATTATATATTTTCTGAATGCCAAGACCCTATAGAATAAAATGGTGGTAGTTGCAAATTTTTATTATTTTATTATTATTAGCGCAACTCCTTATTAAACCCCAACATTTAGTGAAAAATTTAATTTAATGCCCCAAAACACAACAAAATACCAATTTTTTAAATGACATATAAAAGATGAGGTTACAACGGGTAAAACGATACCCAACATGCATAGGTTACAAATTGCGTGCGTCCGTGAAACGGCGAAAAACTGCAGTACCCCAAAAAGTCAATAGAAGACGCTTTAAAAGCCCCCACAGGTCATCAATTTAGAGATACCCCAAAATACTGGCCCTAGAATTATTGCTCTCACTCCGGCGTGCGCGGCAATACCCAACATGTGTAGCGCGTTCGTCGTTTTCATACGTAGGCGCACCCGACGCGTGTTTACGTGGCGACGCGCGTGCTCGCGGGGGCGGGGGACTTTAAAAATATTTTTTTTATTATTATTAGATTGATTTTATTTAATTTTAATTGAAAAAGCTTCTTTTTTTTTAACTTTACTTTGACTGCTATCACATAGAGGGGCTTACAAGCCCCCCCATGTGATAGCAGATGGTCGTGACAGGTACTCTTTAAGGTGATGCTGGGGGTCCAAAAGACCCCCAGTGTCACCTTTACACTGGAAATAAGCTATTGAAGTGCAGATCGCACTTCAATAGCTTATAGCTGGGCTCCAGGAGCCCAGAACTGACAGCCCAGGGACCGGAAGTGATGCACTGCGGGGGTGTCCGGCGGGGGGCGGCCCCTTCTTCGGGACACAGAAGCGATCTGGCGACAGGTAAGTCGCCAGGATCGCTTCTGTTGTAAAGCCGACAGTTGGCTCTACAAGTTTAAACAGAGTCCCGGCGGCAAAAGTCGCCGGGAGTCTGTTTAAACAGCCCCCATGCTGGCGACGTACACTGTACGTCGTCAGTCACGAAGGGGTTAAAGTGTAGTTTAAACAGAATAAAACTACAGATGACACGCATCAAAGAGCACTTGAACTAATTAAAAATCAGCTTTATTGAGTACATTCACACCTGTGCATTGTGATGTGCTATAGTGCAGGTGCATTTTTTTACCTATAAAAAGAATGTCCGTGCACATATACTGTGAGCTACTGTGTGTTACTCTAATGCGTATTATTGCTGATTTTAATGCTCCCTAACACACATGGAGAGGGGTGAATGGGTCCTTAGGACTTTGCTTCACAGTCAATTCTTGATAATATGATTCTGCAGCCATGATAGCATTGGCATCCCCCACTGGTAATCAGTTGGGGGCTTTGCATAGAACTCTGCTGCAAAAGAAAGCGAATGTGATTCTATGGTATTTTTCCAGCAAGTTCCTTATCTGGGTTCTCTCAGAAGAACATGCTGGTGGATTCAATATTACAGGTATTCTTTCAGAAAACCACATGCACCAAACTTGTGTATACTACAAACTAGTACCTGGAGCAGACTTCTGTAGGTGAACCTCCAGCAATGAATCATCCAATAAGAATTCAAACCATGAAGTCTGAGGTGGAGTGCATGGTCGGCTGGAAGTTGCGGCCTCTCTGTCCACAGCTTCCGCGCTCATCTTCTTTGCCTGGATCTTTTCACTTACTGAGTTTTTCTTTTTCATTTTTTCAGTCTGCAAACAGATGAGAGAAATTTGAGGCAAAGGGGTAATGTACACTGAAAATACAAGAAATGTCGGAGTATAACCAGCTTGTGGTAAAGCAGGCCAAAAGGAACCAAAAAGATAACTACCAAACTCATGTTAAGCACAGCGGAGCCTTCATGAAACAGAAGGTCATCACACATACAAAACATAAAAAGGGTTAATTCCTTATTCCATGTCCGAAGACAGTGGGAGGAGTCAAGCAAATCATTAATTCATGTTCCATTAGCCAACAGTGCATTTAGAACCTAAGGTTTGAAGCATACATACATCCTACTATTCTAGTCATTTGTTTCAAGCTGCATACATCAATTTCAGGCGTACTGGCCACCATCAGTTAAGTGTATGAAATCCATTCTACAGGTCCATTAAAAGTGGAACTCCTGGCCAATAGCTTCATGCACATATGTATTTATTTGATTATACATTATTTATTATTGGATTATTTATTACAGGTATTTTATATAGCGCCGACAATTTATGCAGCACTTTACAGACAGAACAATCACATCAGCCTCTGCCCTCAAGGAGCTTACAATCTAAGGTCACTATCTCACATGCATACGAGGGCCAATTTAGACAGGAGGTTTTATTTTTTTGGTAACCTCATTTAATAGATTATTCTCACCTTCTGCACAATGATAACAGTCACCAACCTGGAAGCGAGGAAACGTATCTTCAATGGGACAAAAAAATAAAAATACAGAGCTGCAGGGACGGACTAGTGATGTCATGTTGGACAGGTGGAACAAGAGATATGCAGGATTCTGAAATACCTGGGAGGGTGGGCTAGTGAGGATTCTAACAGCACTTCTAGCAAAGATGCCATTCAATGGAGGCAAGTAGTTCAAAAAGGGCAGCCACTGCAGTTAACAAATTCAATCAATTTATTCCACAAGATGATCAAAGGATATCTCTGCCTGGATCCACACCCTTACGCATTTCACCCAATCACAATGCTTAAAGCTGAACTCTGGGAATTACAAAACAAATGCTTGTTTAATCAAGGGGTAGAGGAACAATCTGTAATACCTACCTTATTCTCCTCCATCTGTGTGACCGATCTCCCAAAGCCTCTTCTCTAAGGTCGCTGTGGGCAGCAGTCACAGTTTGACATCATTACATACAACGCGGGACCAATCATCCTGCATAGTGCGTAAGAATGCCCAGACCGTTGAAGAGAAGAGGTGAGTGCTGGCTGCCAGGGAAGGAAAGGATAATGTATTTCTGACACTTTACTCCTCTACCCCAAGACTTACCGAGCAATTACCCTTGCAGTGCATTTACACTTACTATCGCCACAGTTTATGAATGGACAGGATCAGTTACTATGTCGATAATCATGAATGAACAGGAAGTGATTTAGAGCACTTCCTATTCATTCATAAATGGGGACACAGTAAACATACTATGTCCTCAATTATTTACATGCACTCAGCAATCAGTCCCAATTGCAAACTGCTTGTAACCGCTCTCCATTTTGACTCCTATGGCGATCACAGGAGGCTGAGCCGGTCAGTGCAGTAGGAGAACTCGGCCTTCGGTGATAGCGCCGTTCACATTGCTCCCCTCCTCACTTGACCTCCTGACAGTGTTTGTACTCCCCGCTGGATGCTGCTCTGTGTCAGAGGGAACAAAGAGCGGCGACCGGCTTGGAGGAGGGAAACTAGGAATGTACTGCATTTCTGGCCAAAAACACTGTACTTCCGGCATTTTGGCCAAAGTACCATTTTTAGCCAATATGTTTCGGTGGCCAAAATTTAATTGCACCCCTAGTTTTTTTCAAAGATAAGCGCGAAAAAACTCTCAACATAAGACACTCCATTAATTTGGATAGCCACTGCTCACAACTAAGCATTTTGTCACCAGCTTCTTTTTGGCAGATTACAGACCATTTGTCCCCATAGACGTCAATGGAAATGCCTGAAAATGCATGACATAGGTATATTTGCATATTTCTGTGCGCGTTTGTTCATTGACTGCAATGTCTCCCAATATGCCAGCTAAAACACACGTCCAATGCACGCAAAAATGCACTACACACCCTAAATAAAAACGTGTGCTAAAATGCAAGATTCTAAGCGTTCACCATCTGATTTTGAATTGTACTGTAATGTCCTCCTTATGTTGTGAAGGTGTGCATAAGCTGTTGGTGCTATATAAACCCTGTATAATAATAATAATAATAATAATAATACTGTACAGGTAGTGAGCGTTGTCACCCTAACACAGGAAGTGTGTTGCTGGCAGGATCACCAGATACAAAGGGAAGAAAATAAAGCAGCCAGTACATATAAGGACTAGTAAGCTGCACTCTGACATTTTCGTTGTTGTTGTGTTTAGATACATGTCGTCCTGTCCCCCTTACAGGGCCAGCTCTGTGTGAAAGCCCTGTGCACAGGAAATTTTAATGTTCGGAGCTGACGAATTAACGCAACACAGTCCCGGTGGAAACCTGCTCCTCCCACTCCCTGCCTGTCCCCTCCCTCAGACCCCGCTAAAAACGAACACTCACCGGCTCCGCACACCAATGGAAGAAAAAGAAAAAGAATAAATGATCACAGACTGGCGACCGTGTAATGCGTCACTTCGGGTCACGTGACAACAACACAGGCGCCGGGCGATGACGTTATGACGAGCTGTGTGAACTTTTCTCCCAATGAAAGCTGAGCTAGAGCCCCACCCCCTGGCCGCCGGGGTGACTTTGTCATGGCAGCGCGGGCAGTGCTGCGCCTCCGGTCACTTCTGTACAGAGGGAACAGCCGAGGGACGAGCAGCAAGGCCACCACCTACTGTGCGGAGCTGGTCAGGTACTTGAAGGTGGGATGGGGGAGTCATACAGTGCTGTGCTGAGTCTCCTTACTGGAGGCAACCCTCCTTCCTCCTCACTTGTCCTTGATTTTGCTCTGTTGACCATTGTACTATGTACAGGATACTTTGTATTAGGGCTGGCATACACTTCTGTGCTGTGTTGCAATAACACACATTACATGCATTAGTGCACTGCTGACACACATGCATTGGTGTGCTCCTATGCATGGTAACACTGCTGTGTCGGAAAACATGGTGCATCTCAGATCCTGTTGCACTGGCAGCCCATTTGACTTAATGCAACACTCCAGAACTGACATGAATGGGCCCTTGGTCTATCCATCCCCTCCAAAGTCCTATGATCAACCATTCACGCAGCTGCCAGATCTGCTGCTGTAAATTCTCCTACACATGCATAGAAAGATCCTAGCTATTCCTAATGGAAGTTCCGTATATTGTACATTCCAATAATAGACGGAGTCTCCATAGCGATCGCAAAAGAAACAAGGGGCTGACCAAAGAGTTTTTGCGGCAGCCTGAATCTCACAGGAGCATAGACAGTATAAGACTTTGGGGGTGTGACTTAAAGGAGAACTCCACTTTAGTTAAAAAGAAACATATAGCTTATAATTAGGGATGCACTGATTTTGGTATTGAGTACCGATATTTTTTTTATGGTACTCCCCAATACTGATACCGGAAGGCCCATTAAGGAAGCCATGCGGCGTGTAATAACTCGCCACTGGGCTTCCTGATTAGCCGGGAAGCCGGACAGTGTGTAAAGACTCACCACCCGGCTTCCTGAGTAGCCGGGAAGCTGGATGGTGTGTAAAGACTCGCCACCCGGCTTCCTGATTAGCAGGAAAGCCGTCCCCATGCTTCTCGTCACTAGGTGACGAGAAAGCATGGAGTCAGCTTTCGGGCCAATCAAGAAGCCGTGCGCCGAGTAATGACGCGGTGCTTAGCTTCCTGATTGGCCAGGTAGCCGACTCTATTCTCCCTCGTCATGAGGTGATGAGGGAGCATGGAGCCGGCTTCCCGGCCAATCAGGAAGCCGGGCAGCGTGTAATGACTCGCTGCCCGGCTTCCTGATACCGGAAGTATCGGACCAGGCATCGGAGTATTTGGGGCGAGTATCGGTGCCGATGCCGAGTACTCGCCCAAATACTCGGCATCGGCACCTATACTAGTATCGGTCTCGGTGCATCCCTACTTATAATATTCTTACACAAGCCATTTTGTAACTTGTTATTAAAAATGACCTTACCAATTCAATCAGCAGCTGCTGTCATTTTCTGAAACTGTTCAAAATCTGCGATGCAATACGGCATTAGGATGCATTCTGAACATCACTGGTGTACAGGACACCCCCAGAAATGTAATTTACTGCTTATGTGATTGGCTCACAGATTTTCCCAGAGGTCTGCACTAAGAAACAAGAAAAAGTTAAGGCATCCCCTGCTGTAGTGATTGGTGAGATCCTAAGCGTTAAAATGGACCTTTACCCCCTTTCACTAAAAATCTCATTCAGCTCTGCATGCGGATATGAAAACATCTTACATTTATTAGGTAAATAAACATATTTTCTTTTACTTACAATTACAGGTTTTCACTTCCTGGTTCTCTTGTGCATTAGTGATGTAGCCGATGCTCAAGCATTGCATTCTGGGAAGGTTACATCAGCAGAGCATTGCTGGGAAATCTCGTCTGTAATCTTATGAGAGCTCAGGGAAAGGCATTTTCCTCCCCTGAGATGATGTGCATGGTCACATGTGCCAGAGTTCCAGGAAGTAAAAGGAGAGATAGTAACCTGCCTTTAGTTAAAATGGTCACTGTTAGGAGAATGGGGGGGGAATGAGGTATGCAAAGAATATAAAGCCTGCAATTATATATAAGTATCTGTAGATTGTCATTTCTAAGCATTTCTATAGGTGTATTTGTTGTCATTTTATAGATAAGGATAAAGTTCCTCTTTAACTACTTCTAAAGCGATGCTGACAGCAACTTTCCTCACTAGGTGGTCATAACTTTTTTGGGTGTGTTTGCAAACCAAGTTTACTCAAGCCCACACAAAACTGTCAGTGATTCCTGAATGAGAGGGTCTGGGTTCATTATAATCATCTGGTGAACTTCCTGTGTTTATAGGGGAAGGTGCAGTGTCGGCATCCCTTTAGAAGTAATTAACCCTGAGGGAGTATCTCACCAAAGATGAAATTCCTATTGCAAGGGATGCCAAAAATTAGGGATGTCCCGATGCCACTTTTTCAGGCCCAAGTACAAGTACATCCCCTCATGTACTTGCCGATACCAATTACCGATACTTTTTCTTAAAGGGACAGGTGACTTTAAATGATCCATAGTACAACTACATGTTATGTACTATGGATCATGGTTTAACCTATTCATGTTAGCAGTGGAGAATTGTAACTCTATTGCAAGTACTTGTATCTTAGTAGGGATGCACCGACATATCGGCCCATCGAAACATATCGGCCGAAAATGGCACTTTTTGGCAAAGTGCCGAAAGTGCAATTTTTCTACCGATATAGCGGCGCATCTGTGATTTCTCTCCTCCCCGCTGGGTGCTGCTCTGTGTCCCAGCGGGGAGGAGAGAAACTGTCACAGGCGGCCGAGCGCTGTGAGCGGCCGGTGTCTCTCCACCCACACCACTCAGCCTTCTGTGACAGATCAATGGAGAGCGGTGTTTGGGTGGATACAGCCAGCGCTGTCACAGGAGGCCGGCGGTGCGGTGGAGAAGTCAGCTGTCAGATCTCATTCTCCTCCCCAAACCGCTCGCTCAGCCTCCTGTGACAGCTGTTCGCGATCACTGAGTGTTTGTACCTCGCTCTGCTTCCTGAGTGTTTGTAAATAATTGCAGACAGAGTATGTCTACTATATCCTTATGAATGAATGGGAAGTGCTTTACATCACCTCCTGTTCATTCATGATTGAGGATATAGTAAACATACTCTGTCCTCATGTTATGAATGAACAGGAACTCTCAGTATAGAGGATTCCTGTTCATTGATAACAGGGGCTGCAGAAAAAGAGATTGAGTTCTCTGTGTTCTCAATCTCTTTTTTTTTTCTATTTTAAAAGGGAAATATCAGGGGCCTGTTTAGACCCCTAATATTTCCCCGAAGCCCCTAAAAGTAAAGTAAAAAATATTTAATAAAAATAAAATGTAAAAAAAATAAAAGTTTATAAAAAATGAATGAAAACAAAATTTTTTAATTTTTTTTTCAAAAGTCAAATCTTTTTTTTTTCGGTTTTGGCCCGACATTTTTTTTTTTCAGTTTTAAAGTTTTCATTGCACCTCTATATCTTAGTGCAGACTTCTGGGAAAAATCAGTCAGCCAATCACAGAAGCAGGAAGTGACATTTCTGGGGGCATTACGTACACCAACCGTGTACAGAGGGCCTCCAGGTCGCCATATTGCATTGATTTTTTTTTTTAGCCAGAATTACAGCAGCAACATTTTTAAATGGCGAGATAATTTTTAACTCAATTCAATTAGAAAATGGCTTGTGCAACAATTCTATATGCTATATTCATTTTTTAAAGAGTTTTTTTTTTCTATATTTTAAGTGGGGTTACCGTTTTTGAAGTCTTGGCACACTAAACTGAGTAGCTTACTTGGGCTCAGCACTGCAGGGGTGAGGGGTCCCTGGTAATTCATTTGAAAATGTTAGTAATTAGATGGATGTTAATGCAATATACCCACTAAGTATAGACACCAGGTTTGTGTGAGGCTCCTCTGCAGCATTAGTGAGAGATGTGTATATGTATTGCAGACCTGGACCATTGACACATTTACCCCTCACAAAGGTTGTGATAAGTTAAGCTTATTTTGCATTTATTTTTTTTTGCAGGAAACGCGACTATGAAGGGTTTTTGTGTACATTGCTTCTACCTCAAGAATCCCGCCTTTCTGTGTTTGCTCTGCGGGCCTTTAATGTAGAGCTGTCACAGGCAGGTATTCTACAGCAAATGACCTTTATGTTCTTTATGATATCTTGTCCTCATCACATCGAGATAATGCATGATAAAAACCTCCAGCAGCTTGGTGCAGGTCCTCTGCATTGCCCCTATTGTGAAAACCCTCTCAGTATCATTACGTCCATCCATGTTTTCATCATCATATGCTCGCTTCATCTTCTAGTAGCAGATGCAGGCTACTCATGGCTTGCTTGCATCATCTGTTTCCCCATGCTGCTTGCTTGCTGTGCCCATGTTCCTTTGTAAGTCACTGGCGAGCATGTTGGTCTAATTGGGTGAAGTGCTAAACGTAGTACTTGTAAACACAGGTTGCACAGAAAAGAACTGTACACATTCAGAAGATATCACAGGCTTTTGTCTTGAGCTGCCCACCAGCAAGTATAAAGAGCCTTTGAAATCAAAACATCACAATGTTTACAGAGTAAATATCTTTCCACCTATGCCATGACTCGGATCACATTGTTAGATGTATATTCAAATAGAAAATGAGTTGTATGTGGTCCGGCAGTTGTATCGGCTCTTCTAGATGTCTAAGCGCCACTCTTGTGTCATGTAACAGCCAGCAGAAAGAGGGTCTGATGTCAGTGGCCCACAATTCATACGTTGCATATGCCATATGGTCAGGAGTGTGTCTGACTAGATATATAGAGAGAGAGAATGAATTAATATTTGTTATTAACCTACAACACAACGAAGGGAGTATGCATATGCACTATTAAATAGTAAACTGTATTTTGATGTGATAGGTCCACTTTAATTTGATTTACCAGATCAGACTGTATCAAGTACCAGACCTCTGTTCATTGGATTATTAAGCATGGCCTATGGAGAAGTGATTTTCATTTTAATTGTGCTTTTTTTTTTGGAAGGTGAAGGAATCAGTGTCTCAGAAGAACCTGGGTCTGATGCGGATGCAATTCTGGAGGGAAACTATTCAGGACATATACCAAGAGAATCCTCCACATCACCCTGTGGCTCAGGAATTAGCTAAGGTGTCTCATGTTTGTGTTTTAGCATGTTTAAATGAACTGAAAATTCAGTTCTGTTTCATTTTTTTAAGTGGGAATTATTGCTCTATCCCCTTCACGACCCATGACGGGATAATACTGTCATGAATTCTGAAGGGGTTAAACAAACTAAAGCCGCCGGGACTCTGTTCATAATTGTAGAGCCATCGGCCTTACAGTAGAAGCGATTCCGCCAGATCGCTTCTAAGATCCGATAAACGGGCCGCTGTCATCCATATTCTCCCTTCACTACTTAGTAAGTTGCCAAACTAGAATAAGCATGTGGACATCAGGTGTCCTGACAACTATAATGCATGTGCTTGTTCCAAGTCAGTGACTTGTTCCAAGTCAGTGACTCTCCAAGGATAGATCAGGACGATAGCTCTAGAACATGCACCTTACAAAAACATTCAACTATGGCAGCCCCATAATTCTTTCTTGACAGGTTCCTATGAAAGTAAAGTAGTCCTCTGGCCAAATGTTTTTTCTCTCCCGTTTATTGAAGGACACAGGGCAACAGATCGTAGATCCTGAATGGTAGGGTATATCGCCACCTGCAGGAGTAGGACGCTAGGCACATAACAAAAAGACAAGACAGCCTAGGGGCGGCCCCTGCTGGTGGCCCAACCCCTCACTTGCTGACAAGTCTCCAGTTTTTTGCCTAGCGTCAGGAGTAAGGAGCTAAAAAATTTTCTCTGAAGAATTTTTTTCCTTTCTTCCGTTTGAGTTGATTTTTCTTCTAGCAAGTGTCCCCTGGGTGACAGGCTGGATGATTGTAGATCCTTGTAGTCTCCCCTGGGTGACCGACGAGCGCATGCAGACTCTGCTACGGTGGGTCGGCTGCGAGGGGTGGTCCTCCCCGACGCCTATGGGATTCGTCCTGGGGGGGGCTTCTGACCGGGGGCTCCGGCCCACCGGTACAAGGTCCGGCTACTGAGGGCTCGCCAGTGGTCACCCGTTCGGTTTTGCATGCGGGTCCTGGGTCTCATGGTGGCCTCTTTCGAGGCGGTGCCTTTTGCACAACACCATACCAGGACCCTGCAGAGGAACATCCTGGTACAGTGGGACAAGTCCCCCCTGTCCTTGGACAGGGAGATTCGGATCTCTCGGGAGGCGAGGGCCTCCCTGCGGTGGTGGCTTCACTCCCCCGTCTTGGTGCGGGGGAAGTCAGGTGAGTACAAAAATCCTATTTTTTTCTAGTTTTTGGCAGACCTGGAAAGTTTTACAATCTGTCGGGTTTTTGTTTTTTTTGATCATCACTTGACCGCTGTATTAGATGTCTTATTGGTTGATTGAAAGCGAATGTAAAATCAGCAAAATAGAAAATCGCTGGGAGGTAGGGATTTTTGGCAGAAGAGACGTGCAAATCTTCCTCTTCCCTCCAGCAATTTTAAAACATTTTTTTTTTTTTGTTTACACTGTTTTACACGTGCACCATAGAGTGTAAATACTCAGCCCACACATAGCCCCTCTAAAATGTGAATGTGAATGGGTCAGGTGCTGGGGAGTATCAATGGCCACCCAATTGGCCTTGAGGACTTCCAAAAACCTCCAAGTGTCTGTGGTGCAGATGGCGGGGTACAGAGCTGAGGACTGAAGATCAATCTGATGTGGAGAAGGGCACACCCGTGTGCCCTAATGTGGCAGTATGCTTCCATTTTGCTCCAATATGCATACTTGGACATTAAGGCAAAAACAGTGAGGGGAATTTATCAAAACTGCAGCAGAGAGAAGCTGGAGCAGATTTGCACTACAGCCAATCAGCATCTCTGTCTCATTTTCAAATCTCACCTGAGCAAACTGTAGAGTGATGCTGATGTGTTTCCATGGGCAACTGCTCCAGATTCTGTCTGCACAAAGTGATTTACTACCACTTTAAAAAGGTGTGTGTGTATGTATAAGGATGCTAGCCTCTGGTTTTAATTTGACTTGATATGCTAGTTAAAGGAGCATGTGGCTCCCCAATTTGTTACTATTTTTTCTTAGCATTGTAGAGTCTTCTTTATAACAGCATGTCACATTCCATCACATATTCCTATAGTAAGAGGATTATTCCTCGCGAGTTTGGGCAGAGCCGTCCACATAATTCCTTTTTGCTCCAGTGGCCAACTGCACATCCAGAACCACCAGTGTATAGTACATATATACGATAGCTATCTCAACCTTTTTTACCACCATAAGAACTCTTGAAATGGTTTTTCAGGTCTCGGGGAACAGCTGCTAAAAAGTATAATATCTACAGCTCATTATACAACTACTACTGCTCTAGGAACCCCTAGCAACCTCTGGAGGAACCCTAAGAGTTCCACAGAACCCTGGTTGAGAAAGCCTGGTCTAAAATGTATGAACAGCCCTTTCAGGCTTTTTGGTCATTAATCAGTACAGTGTATTGAAACCCTTGCTTCTAGGAAATAGGGCTAGGACTTTGTAAAAGCTATAATGTAAGAAGTGTTTAATACCAAGGGTGGTGTTGGTCTTGATGTGCAATGTGTGTTACTACCATGGGTCGGGGAGTATAGACTACAGGATATAAGCACGTTTTAGGACCTTACACACTGACTAACTTTGAAAGGAGGCATTTCCCTTCACTTTGAGACGTTTCGTAGGTTTGTGCTCACTTCCTGATACATATCTGAAACCAAAACTTCTGCAGTGAGACTTGACGGGCCAAACCAAAATTTTCCACTCCATCCAAAGTTAAAGGGAGAAACGTTTTGGGCTGGCGTTCTACCTCGTGGCAGCTAGAAAAAAACAAAACACGAGGGCATGAATGAGAGTGATAATGCCGCAAAAGTTTTGCTTTATCCTGTGCATTCTCCTAGAATGTAGTGAGGTACAATGTGCTATACCAAGGTCTTTGAGAAAAGGTCCGGAAAAGGGGTAATATAAAAGTTTTTTTAAAAATACCAAAATCCTCATATGCATTTCATCTTTTCTGTGTACAGGCTGTGCAGAGACACAAACTGACAAAACGATGGCTGACCAGAATCATTGATGACAGAGTGAGTTGTCTGATATCCTTTTCTTCTTGCTGGTTATAAAATGTAAATCCTTCTCCAGTCTCCCTTCACTATAGTGAGGTTGCCAAAACCGAAAATGCTGACCCAAATAAGATTTCATTTAAAATATAAATATGCTAGATGAGGTGATTGTGAGATATTAGGATGGGGCAATCGATTGTGGGAACTTTTTTCCTGCATGTGGCTGACTTCCTTTTCCTCTCTGGTATTAATATTGACTTCTTTTTTTCTCTTTGGTATTACTATTGAAGCAGAGACGTCAAGTGCAGCTCAGCTTTCAGCCACCTGAAAACTATAGGCTGTGCCGACTAATTCAATTAAAACATTGCAATGCGCCAATAAATAACCATAAAATATCACATCAATCAATAACCATAATATACAGAAATATATATTGTGAATGCTAAATCACATAATATAACATCAATAGTCCTATCTATCTATCTATCTATCTATCTATCTATCTATCTATCTATCTATCTATCTATCTCCAATTAAATAGATGAAAACAAAAGTCCACCATTTGCCGATCGATGTCAATGAATTCAATGTGCATAAATATGTGACGTGACAAGTCCTCCTTATAAACTCCTGATGATTGTTAAGCACACCCCCCGCACTCACCAGATTTCCATAATCATAGCGGCATAACGGTCACAGCTGGTAATCACGGTAAAACTTCTTCCTCCAATCCCTAATCCTTCTCGAAGAGTGCTTCCGGTTAAAGGAGAACTATGGTGGGGTTAAGGCTTTTCCCCATAGTTCTCCTAAGGGTAACGGGAGGACACAAACTAGCGTCCTCCCATCATCCTAAGCTCAGTATACCACGAGCCACGGCTCACGGTATACCGAGACGCCGCAGTATGCCGCGAGCTATAGCTCGTGGTATACTGAGACGCCGCAGCTGAAACAGATCCCGACAATTATGTCTGGATCCGCCCAGCTGCTTGAGTGACAGCTGGCTCTGCCTATCTAGAGGCAGAGCCAGCTGTACCCCCCCGGTCCGTTCCACCAGTCAGTGCTGGAGGATCGGGGAGGGGGAATCCAGTCACTCCCCTGTTGCAGCTCTCTGCCGTGACAAGATCGAGAAGTGAGCGAACGCTGGTATGTGTTCGCTCACTTCCCGATCTACTGAGCCGACCTGCGACAGTTTCATTGTCACAGGTCGGCTAGAACTATGAGGATGAGTGAAAAGCACTCGCCTCATAGTTCTCCTTTTAATGCCGTTTACGAAAGATATCCGCTCCCAAGGGAAGATAACAAGCACATAGTGTAGTTTGCAAACATAGGTAATTTTATTAAAAACATTTAAAACCACTTACACAAGATTCCAGAAACGTTTGCCATTCATATGAAATAAATAAAAAAACAGCTGATCCTCAGACGAAGTGGGAACAGGTTCCTTCCTGCTTCCTGTGTGGCAACCTCAGTGCGTGCCCACCCTTCCGACGCGCTTCGTCCACAGACTTTATCAAGGAAAGGCAAATGTACTGAGGTTTCTTGTTAATCTCCTTTTATATCTCCCTCAAACGGAGACTGTCGTGGGAACTTTTTTTCCTGCATGCAACTTACTTCCTTTTCCGCCCTGGTATTAATATCGACTTCTTTTTTCCTCTTTGGTATTACTATTGAAGGAGGGAAGTCAAGTGCTCTTCAGCTTTCAGCCACCTTAAAAAAACAAACTATAAACTTTGCTGACCAATTGCTTGAAACATTTTCTTATTAAAGCATACCCACAGATTGGCCACACACTACAGTAAGACTGAAACACTTCCAACTCCTCATCACCAATGGAGCTCCTGGAAACACCTGAACTTCTGGGTGTGGGGAAAATAGACACATTCTCTGTAACAGTGTATTTCTGAGCAACCAATAACCAGGGCTAAGCTTTGTCATGTGTTTGTGTCTGCTATGGGAGCAGCCTAGGGCTATGCTATGCTGACTTCCAGAAAGTCTGTGTTTTGTATATGCACTCAAACAGTGAGAGTGCTCTGATGTTACAGTCTATGCATGCTGTGACACCTTGTAGTGTTTTCTAGCTAACTTCTGCCTTAGTTTGTTATGCAAGACCATGCTACTGGTCTGCTTTCGTAGTGGGAATTTCAGAACCAGAACTAGCCTTTGTCCAACTCATGCAGGTTGCCAGAGATGCTCTCTGGCCACTGCTGGTGGAGTTTAGGTTTCGAAAGAGCCATTTAAATGGGTTAACTAAACTGCAGTGCACATGCTCACCAAACAATTTGCATCAAATGCCACACACCAGGTTGAAATAAAAACGTATTTCCACTTGGAAGTGTTTTCATTATATATGTAAAAGAGCTCAGGCATAGGAAATCATTTCACTGCACATTTCTCTTTTAAAACACTCCTTTTTATTGTATAGTACGTAATTATATGTGTTAATGCGGCAGGAACATTTACTCATTACGCATGCATGCTCTGCTTCCAGTTTCGCAGCATTGAATAATGTTTATTTCTGGCCAATCTGATTAATTCAATGCAAATCTATTGGAAAGGATTTGTCTGATTTAGAACAATAAACCACCTCCATTCTCTGTCATAAAACACCCACACAGTTCCTGATAAATACAAACCATGTAATACTTTGGCTGGGCTTTAGGTGCTGTGAGGGAGATTAGTAGCAAAACATTTTTTTAAAGGAAAAAGAGGTACTATTTACTCCAAACAGCAATGTAATTTTGTATTGCTAACAAATGGCCTTATGGTTTATGTAATTGGTCATTTGTAATAATGATAGCTCTTCTTTTAGAATAACCACGAAAACTAGAACTCTGCTGCCACCTGGTGGTGTAAACTACAGAAATAATTTACCAACTGAAATAAACACAGGGCTCATTGATATCAGACATTTGGATTCACATTTGTCCAGTAATCTTAGAAATCTGTCAGTAATTAGCTGTTACCTATCAATTGTTATTTAAAGTGACACTAAACTCAGGAAATCTTAAAAATCCATTAAAGTACCTTAACTATTAACAAAAATGTATCTTATTTGTGTATTACTCAGCTGCAGATCCTCAAATCATCTCTGAATTGGTGCCGACACTGTCCTTCCTTCTGGAGGGTGGCTACTTTTGTTGCCCATGGTCCTTGTGTGTGTTGCAGAGTAGTCGGCCCTCCGAGCTCATTCCCGTGATGGACTACAATCTCAATACAAATTAGTAGGGATGTTCAGATACCAGTGCTGATACTTGGCATTTTCTCAAACTACTAAGGTTACAGCTGGGACCTGGCTCTGGCGCTCCACCACTGTCCTGAAATCATCAGTCTGTATTGTTTTAGAAAAACATGACAAACAAAAATGTACCAGTACTTGTGTCTGTAAGTACTTGGACAAGTATCAGTACTTGTACTTGAAAAAATTGTATCAGTGCATCCTTAATATATATTTATAAAAGAAAAATCATACATTTAAACAGGGTTGCACAAATTCCAGGAGCTCAGTATGCTCCTTAACCAGTTGACATCCGCGGTGTTAAACCCCCTTCCCATCCAGGCCATTTTTCAGTATTCAGCGCTGCAGTACTTTGACTGACATTTATTCCGTCATGCAGCGCTGTACTGAAATGAATTTTATACCCTTTTTTGGGGACAGATAGAGCTTTCTTTTGGTCGTATCTATTTTTTTACTATATTAAGGAAAAAATACAGAAATTTAAAAAAAAAAACAGTTTCCCCTATATTAAATGATAAAACATTTATTATTACCCAATTTTTTGGTAAAATATAAAAGATGGGGTCACGTCGGGTAAAAAGACACTAAACATGTCAAGCCTTAAAATTGCGTGCGCGCGCGAAACCTCAAAAAACGATAATACCCAAAATTGGCCATAGGCGACGCTTTAAAAGCTGTTAAAACACAAATAAGATACATTTTAGTTAATGTACTTGTATGCATTTTTAATAACTCCTGAGTTTAATGCCACTTTAAGACCAAATCATGGGCGCACCACGTATGTCACCAAATAGCTATACTCTGTGCACAGGAATGTTCTTAGTCCTTCTATTCTCCAGAGACTTTAAAACATATAATTGCTTGTTCAAGCTCCTTAAAGGGGACCTGCACTCAAATATTAACTTAACATTGTATTAAGGTAGAAGTTCACATCGGTTTGGACCCAAGATCATCGATTGGAGGGCTAATTATCTAATGAACTTGCAAATGCAGTAAACCATGTCTTTGTGGCAGATGTAGTAAACCTGTTGGAAGAAGTCCACCATTTGCTCTAGAGTAGAAGTAGACAGAAAAAGCTTTCATTCATAAAACGGAATTGTTCAGCTCTGAGACTGAAAATACACTCCCACAATTTGAAACCGTTTGGAGGCTGTTAAAGGAGAACTATGGGGTTAAGGCTTTTCCCCATAGTTCTCCTAAGGGTAACGGGAGGACACAAACTAGCGTCCTCCCGTCACCCTAGGCTCAGTATACCGCGAGCTGAAGCTCACGGTATACTGAGACGCCGCAGCTGAACCTGATCCTGACAATTGTGCCGGGATCCGCCCACCTGCGTGACTGACAGCTGGCTCTGCCTATCTAGAGGCAGAGCCAGCTGTACCCATCACCTCATAGTTCTCCTTTAAGGAATTCCTTTTTTGCTCCAGTAGCCAACTACACATCCAAAACCACCAGTGTATAGTACATATCCAGCCATCTCAACCTTTTTACCCCATAATGACCTCTTAAAATGTTTTTCAGGTCTTGGGGAACAGCTGCTAAAAAGTATTATATCTACAGCTCACTATACATCTACCACCCCTCGCAACCTCTGGAGGAACACAAAGAGTTCCACAGAACCCTGGTTGAGAAAGTCTGATCCAAAATTTGCAAACAGCCCTTTCAGGCTTTTTGGCCATTAATCAGTACAGAGTATTAAAACCTTTGCTTCTATGAAATAGGGTTAGGGCTTTGTAAAAGCTTTAATGTAAGAAGTGTTTAACACCAAGGGTGGTATTGGTCTTGATATGCATTGACTAACTGTGAAAGAAGGCATTTCCCTTCACTTTGAGACGTTTCGAAGGCTTGCACTCACTTCCTGAAAATCAATTCCCACAATTTGAAAACATTTGGAGGCTGTTGAGGCAGATTAGTATAGTCCTTAACCTAACATTATACAGAACGCTGAAGGCTGGTAAGACAATACAATATGACAGCAAGATGTATTTATTTAGACCAAGTACTACAACAAAAAGGTATCACAGGAAATGTGTTTTGTTTTTTTTACAACAAAATCATGTAATGTAACAAATACATTTGAAACTATAATAAAACTATATTTATTTAAACTTTATTCTGTCCCTGTTCAAAAACTTACCACATAGCACATGAGGGAAAATCTGCAATAGAGATGGCATTCCCCTATTTAATCAATTATGCTGTTTGGAATTCTTTTTTTATTTTTATTGCATTGCATATTTTTGTAAGACAATATCGCCAAAATACATATAATTTTTTCTTACGTAATGATAGTTATTGCGGAATTAACAGGCCTGTAGCAGATATGTAAAAATTGCTCTGGTCCTTAGGGGGTGTACAGGTGAGAGAGTTGAAGTGGTTAACAAAAGCTTCTACCCTCTCTATATGTTGGGTATCTGCAACATATATATATGATTAATAATCACTTTAATATATTACCTCTCAGGAGTGTGAAATTATCATCGCCTGGGACATGCAGTTCCGGGCATTGGTCACGTGTTGTTTTTTTTCTACATTTAGCCCTGCTTCGGGCAAGCAGGGCTAAATGTAGAGTGGGGGTGCCATTTTGAACAAATCACTTTTAATCGGCCTGCTTGCCCTGTCCGTTCCACCACCAGCCACCTCCCTCTGCGCTGTGGTTTTCGGGGGCCCCTGCTATTCTGGGGGACCCGGGACCGCAGCAAATGCCTTCATAATCTCGGATGGTATATAATTTTAGCTTGGCTTGCTCCCGTAATGGACTACAATCTCACATTTTGTTTACCAATTTGTATTGAGAAGTATTTGAGCTGGTGGCCAACAACGAGTTAGGAGCTGGTGAGAACTAAGGTAGCCCCCCTCCAGAAGGAAGGACAGTGTCGGCACCAATTCAGAGATGATTTGAGGATCTACAGCCGAGTGATACACAAATAAGATACATTTTTGTTAATAGTTAAGGTACTTGAATGTATTAAGTGTGACTGATTTTAGTGTCACTTTATGTCTTATCTAAACCCAAGAACAAAAATGTAATATACAGTATTGCAGCTTACCAGTGGTTGGGTCATTTACTTTTCTTTTTTCCTTTTCATTTTTACCTATTGATCCTGCCAGTAACACACTTCCTGTCCTAGGGTGACAGTTCTCATTGACTGTATTGTATCTGTAGAGGCACAGCTTTGTCACCCTGGACAGGAAGTGTTAGGCCACCCTAAGGGTGGGAAATGTAAGGGCTACAGAACACCACCCACTCTTCTGTTCTCCATAACAGAGGAGGAGGTTTTCTTTTGTCCACAGAGAAAACTGGGAACAATGCAGACTGATAAAAAGTGTAACACAGGCAGAGCACAGGACGTTATGAGCTCACAAAATGTCTGACAGGATAATCTGGTATTCTACACCTATTGATTAGAGCTAAAATGCTTTAAATTGTAAATTTTAACAGACCAAAAGGGAGAGAATAAGAGAATTTCTTTGTTAGGGTTTGCATACACTTTGAACTGTATGCCCTCAAATAAATAAATGAATGCCTTATTGCAGTCCAACTTTCATCTTAATAATTTAGGCCCCATTCACACCTATATGTTTAGGTGCGATTCGGGATTCCTGCATCAGAAACTTGCATTTTCCTGCAGCGGGAATCCTTAATCTGCCATTTACAAGCGGCAGCTGTCACCCGTTCAAGTTAATTATCGGTGTCAGCGTCTGCATTTATACCCCCAAACTAGCATGTAAAACAACTTGTCTCACCACTAAGGACAATGACAGAGGTTTGGATACACGTCTTCATTATACCCCGGCACACTGCATGTAGTCTTATGTGATGCGATTACATGCAGTTCAGAATCAATCATTATGCCTGGACGCTTCGCTTGTGTGTCCAGGAATAGTAATCAATTCCTAACCGCATGTAATCGTAAATGCACTGGCTCGCACCTGATCATTAGCTTGATTGGGTGACAGCTGCGCCGCTTGTAAATGTAAAGGTGCCCATACACCTGCTGATTATCGTACGATAATCTCGGGTGATCCCGCAATGGCACGATAATCGGCAGGTTTATGTGCAACGTGCAACCTCTTCTACTGTAAGATGTGGTGACGCATTGGGGATCCCAGAATGCATCTGTGGTTGCTGGGCCTCCAGTGCGTCCCCACACCTTGTGAGGAGGAGTAGGCTACCTCCTGGTACACCTGCATTCAATGTATTGACTGCATCAATATGCTCCCACATGGAGACTCATATAAATAGAGTTAGGACCACACTTTACAGAGGTGCCTTGACGGTGGCAGTGTGGCTTCTACATATTTTTGGCCAAAGGTTTGTGCAACTAAAACCTGCTTTTACCGTATACTGTTAGACAGGGTAATTTGTTTTGTTGCTGGCAGGTGTGCTGGGGATTTTTTGTGTTTTGTATTGTTGTAAGCCTTCTCATGTGCACCCTGCTACAAAGGCTGGTTATTAATGTATGCGGTTACCATTTTTTTCTAGTTTTTCTAGCTCTTCTACTGTAAGGTCGCACGACATTAGTCTTCCGAGCACGCTTGAAAACCTGCAGAAAATCGTAAGGCATGCACAGGAGACGAATGCCGCAGGGGCCGGTGTGCGCAAGCGCACTGCCCGCTCAGCACTGCAATCATCGGAAGCCCTCCCCTCAGCGGGGCATGCTTGCGATGATCGCAAGTACGGTCTGCCTGTCCAAGATGGGCCGATCGTACGAAATTTGAATGACCTTACAACCATCGCACAACGAAAGTCATGCGATGGTTGTAAGGTGTATGGGCAGCTTTAGATTTACGGGTTCCTGCTGCAGGAAAGCGCAAGTTCCTGACGCAGGAATCCCTAATCGCACCTAAACATACAGGTGCAAAGGGGCCTTACAGTGTATGCTTCCTTGTTTTTGTTTTTTTCCCTGTACAATTTCAATCTTTTTCTGTCCACATTTTACTGTTGTGGTGTGGCTGCAGTAAACATTTACAGTCACTTGGTGGTGCTGTGATCTTGTCTAATATAACATACACACAGGTACAAAGCTATTAAACTATATTTATATGCTTATATTTTACTGTCTTGTTGCCATTAGCTAGAGGAAAACTGAGGCAGTCTCGGTTAAGTAAAATCTGTGCTTTTTAATACAATACACACGGATTAAGCTCTTTTTTTTTTTTCATTAAGCAGAAATCGTTTTTTGACAAATAAAGAAATTTTATTTACAATAAAATTGAAAGCATCTTCCCTCTGTTGAGCAGGGCTTAGAGCTAATTTTTGGCTGCTAATTGCTTTTCTGTTGCTCAAGGCTGCAACTAAATTGGCCTCTTCTCATGCGCTCTGCACTAATGTATTTACTTGCTGATTTTCTCAGTAGCTTGAGTGGTGCCCTGTCAGAGGTGGGCAAAAATAATATAAAACAACAGATGTAGAATGTGGCCGTGGTTCAAATCTTGAACTGCTTTTTTAGACACATCCATTTTCAATGTATTTGTTTTTTTGTCTTTTTGCTGGAAATGTATAATATGTTTTGTTTTGTTTTCTGTTGCTGTTAGGAAAAGAATCTGGATGATAGAGCATATCGAAACATTAAAGAGCTGGAAACCTATGCAGAGAACACTCAGAGCTCTTTGCTGTACCTGACCTTGGAGATGCTCGGTAGGTACTAAAAATATATCATAGTTAAATGCTCATTCTTTCTTTTTATTTTATTTACATTCATGTACCATAACTATTAACAAAAATGTATCTTATCTGTGTATCACTCAGCTGTAGTTCTTCAGATTGGTGCTGACACTGTCCTTGCTTCTGGAGGGTGTTCCCCATGATCCCTGTGTGTGTTGTAAAGTAGCCAACGCTCTAAGCTCACTCCTGTGATGGACTACAATCTCATGTTTAGTTTACTAATTTGTATTGAGATTGTAGTCCATCACAGGAGTGAGCGTAGAGCGGTGGCTACTTTACAACACACACAGGGATCATGGGGAACACCCTCCAGAAGCAAGGACAGTGTCAGCACCAATTCAGAGATGATTTGAGGATCTACAGCCGAGTGATACACAAATAAGATACATTTTTGTTAATAGTTAAAGTACATAATGTATTTTTAAGATTGATCCGCTGAGTTTAGTGTCACTTTAAGTTGCTGAGCAGTTCTGACTTGTTGCACAGTTGGTCCACGCCAGTGACACAGAGAGGATTGAATTTGGAGACAGAGAGGCAACTAGCATTTTCAGAAGCCTCCGTCAAATACAGTGGTCCTTTATTTAATGCTCTCACCCCTTAGGTGCAGGTCACGTTGCTAAATACTTACCTTCCTTCCTGTTGCAGTGATTCCCTACTCGGCTTTGCACAGTCATTCAACTGAATACACCCCCTCTAGATCCTTCTTACTGCGCTGGTGCGTCAGGGATCAATTTATTCCTATGGGAGAGCCCTATTTTGCTGCACTGCTGAAAGACGCTAAATTAAGGGAAGTTTCCCTAAGGAGACACAGACTGCAAATAAAAACTCTTCAGATGTTTTATCCCTTTTCTGAGTATGCCCAAAAATGCAAATAAGGTTTTGGCTGGAGCTAGATTTGAAAGGAAATGAAAGATTTCACACTTTTTATAAAGAGCACCTGATACAAAGACAACCAGGATGTGTCTACAGGCCCCCAAGAGGCTCCGCCCTTTCCCATTTCCCATTGGACAGTGGCACTGTCCATCACAGTGATAGGCCAAAAATGTAGAAACAGCAGGCAGAGTCAAGTGCTGACTTTTGAATAAAGTCAAGGTTTGCATTATAGAGCCCCCTGGATTCTTGGGATAACTGAAGCTCTGTCTATAGACCTTTGAGATTCCGCAGTAACATCCTGCTGGTGGTTTACATACATTAATGGCAATACAGACTTTGTTTATTAAAAAGAAAATCAAATATTTAACATTTATCCTAGTAACAGACTGTTCACTATATCTGTTAATATGAAAAAATACTTTTTGATGTTGCTTATAAATATGTAACAATATACATGTCAGTAACAGACCATATATTACACCTAATAGATATCAAATAGTGATTTTGTTCTGTTTAAATACCAACAGGCCAAGGACCACTTATGAATGGGTCATCTTCGCATCTGTTATACAAAGCAGACCATTAAATCTTTTTGTGACATTTGACCCTGAAATATGCATTCATACTGCCTTTGAACGTCACTGCCATAGAGAGTACATTGTACTGCTGTATGGTATGGTTTGTGCACACATTTGCCCAACGTGACACCTGTTAATATATAAGCATCCTTTTATGTATTTGGTTTTCTTGAAGGGCAAGCACCTCGGTGTTCATAAGGTATTTTCTTATTTGCAAGGCTTATCTAGAATACTGCTATACACAACTTAAAGTGTTATAGTTGGGCAAAATTGTATTCAGTACATCTCTGTAATACGTTGACATCTCACTATATTGTGTATCTTTAAAAACACTGCATGTACAGTAAGATGCTTGTTGATTCTGCCAGAAATGTGCTCGGCTCCTAACTTTTTGTCTGATGTAACCGCACTGTGCCTCTTCTACACCTAAATCCCAAGCAGTGTTATCAGCCCTGCATAGTTTTAATAAGGTGGGCTACAACCCCCCTCATGTTATGGAGAGGTTGAGAAGTTCTGCAGTCCAGAATAAGAGAGCAGGGCTGATATCACTGCTTGGGATTTTAGTGTAGCAGAGGCACTGTGCTGTCACTTTAAACAGGAGTTAGGAGCACAGCATATTGGCACATTATGGCCGATTTACCTACATAAGTGATAGGCTCCAGCACTGCTCTCCTCGATCATTGGCACTTCCATCTCCTCCCAGCCCTCTCCCCGAGTTCTGAGTCGGCCGTTTGATTGGCTTGGCCCTGATGATGTAAATCCTGTGCAAAAGTTGCTTCATCTCAGCAAGAATCCTACCCATACTACACCGAGCTGCACATGTACGACTCATTACAGTTGTAGAAAAAAAGTGCTGACAGACCGAGTAAAACATTTAGCTGAGGAGACTTTTTTCTCAGCATTTCTGGAAATTTAGGCTTCAATTTCACTTTAATTCAACATTGGAAACTATTCTAAACAATACAAGCTACCTATAGTGTCCTGTGTATAAACCTATAGAGAATGTGCATAGCTATTCATCCACACGCAGTTTTGCAGGATGAATAGCTATGCACATTTTTTTTTTTTTTTTTAGAACCCAACACTTATATATAATCTGCAAGACCTATGCAAGTATAGAAAATTAATAAAATACAAATAAAAAGGGCTTAGAGATGGAATAAATGGTCAGAAAATGTACTTGATCCTTGAAAAGTATAATTCTTTGTAACATCAAACTCTACCCTAAGGGCCTGTTCACACGACGTCCGTATTCTGTGCTGACCTGATCCGTACGCTCCTGCACTAAATATGCATCCCAATGTAACCTATGTGTTTTATGGGCTACAGTTCTCACGTGCGCAGTCCGTTCCGTTCCTGACTGAAAAAATACTGCATGTCACATTTTGTCCGGTCAGGAAACGCACGCAAACGCATCAAAAATACAACGCAAATGGAACGCAATGCAGCTAAGCAAAAATTTTTTATTCTTGCTCCACTTTTTATGATGTCAGAGTGGGAGATAGATAGACAGACAGGTTGGGGTAGAGGTAAAGACATGAACTGCAAACATTTTGAACATGCCCATTACCTTTCCATGGACATACGAGTGAAGGAAAAAAAAAATATCCAATAAAGACGTCTCCTGTGAGCTCATTCTCTGTAGATTGCTGTAGCCAGCACCATCAACATGCCTGCAAACATGTGATTACATGTCTGATCACCAGCTGTACATACACAAAGGGAAGTAGATGTTACGAGAGGCGGAAGTGACCTCAGAGGAAGAATCTGCATACTGACAGCCCCACGGCTTGAAAAAAAAAAATTAAATGTCAGCATCCGGACCGAAAACGCGTCAAAAACGCACTGCATGAGTAGCACCGCGTCTGCAGAACCGGGCCTGAAAATCATGTGAACAGGCCCTAAATTATAACAAGTGATGTAAAAAGGAAGAGAAAAAAGCACAGTAAGGCCCCTTTCACACGGGCCATGCGTGCATCCTCTCCTGATTACAGCAGTACGTAGCGGATGTCACTGCTGTGACATCCATTCCCATATCGTTATTTCCTCCCCATGTGGGGTAACAGGGTGAAAACTTGCATTGGGCATCCGATTGGGTCCTGAAAAACTGACAGGCGGACACGATTGGACCACCCGTGTGAAAGGGTCCTAAAATAAGTAGATTTACTGTATCTTTGGGTTATTGTGGTTAAAGTGTATAAAAGACCAAAGTTATAACTCATGGTAATTTTTATGGCTGTCTATGCCCCACTGGGGAGATTTACCTTCCCTCCTTATCCTGGTGACCATTATTTTAAGTTTTCAGAGAATTAGAGGGGAAATCTTTCAATGGGGACACGTGTTCCAGTCACAACTGAGTTCCCTCACGTTGAAGAGACTTCTCTTACGTCTTGTCGTGTCTATATGACAAAGTGAAGGGAAATCTGCCCAATGGGACACAAGAATTTTAACTTGTCACTTCTACTAAAATAAAGAAAAAATGTTTTGGCTTCAGATATACTTTAAACTGGCAATACATAGTTGGCAGATTTTGACAACAATGTCACATCTATGGCAGCAGTAGATGCACCCTTCTAACTCTTTGGGGGGCGGGGGTTGTATTCATCTGACAGGTTTGAATACCTTGCCTGGTAAATATCCTTTCCCCTTCCAGTTCAGGGAGGTGTCTGTCTGGATTTTGATCTCCTTGCTAGTTCATTCGCTCAGATATGTGTGTACATGTGAGGTGAAGCAAGTATGTGTTTACATGGCACCTGGTCAAAAGGCATGCCTCTTGGTGGCCAGCTACATCTGTATATCCAGTTGCCCTTGAGCGTAGCTGTAGCCTGAGGTTTTCTTGATATAATTATGATATCTGTTTCTGTATGTATGCTATTTAATAATGTGCATGTATGCATGGTACTGAATGCATAGGCTGCTGTAAATGTAGTAGAGTTTAGTAGGGTTGAGGTCAGAGCTCTGTGCAGGCTTCTTGAGTTCCTCCACATCAAATCATGTTTTTACGGAGCTGGCTTTGTGCCAGGGGCACAGTCCTGCTGGAATAGAAAGAAGTTCTCCAAACTGTCACCACAAGATTGGAAGCACACAGTCGTTCACTACAAGCTCCACTCCGGCAAATCATTCAGAAAGGAAAACAATTATCATATTGCAGCCTGAAGTGTGGTGATTAATTTACTTGTCTGACCTGAATTCAATAATTTGGAATTGTGTCCACTAACTTTTGACCACATAGTATATCTCAATGTTCATTACAACATAACAAACCACATTTGCACATCAGATAATTGATGTATATATATATATATATATTTCTCCCCCTACTATGTAGATGTTAAAGATGTTCACGCGGACCATGCTGCCAGTCACATTGGCAAAGCACAGGGTATCGTCACATGTCTGAGAGCCGTTCCTTTTCACAGCAGCCGGCGACAGGTCTTCCTGCCTGTGGACATCTGCATTTTGGTAAGTGCATGCAGCTATTCAGTAAAGTTCTGTGTTTTCCTTGTAAAGGCAACGTACATTGTTATGGACACCCGGCAAAATTCCAGTGAATTATCCTCAAGTGCTGGTGGAAATGGACTGATTTAACCACAATGCACCTTTTCCATTCTGTTCAGCACGGTGTTTTTTTCTGGGGTTTTTTGCCGGCTGTTACTCTAATGGAACGATGCATTAGAAGGTTGTCTCAATCATTTTGTCCTTTTTCAAGAGTGGTTGCCATAGGAACCTCCTGGGATTTCATTAAAATGGGGGGAAAAAAAGAAAAAGCTTACAAGCCATAATAATTTGTGAATGGTTTTAAGAATGACAACTCCTTTTTATTATGTCCCTTTCAGTCTGCATTTCATAATCTACTACGTCAGAAGGGGAGACTAGTCTATTAACTGTTGTTTGGCCATGGCTGAGTAGACTTGTGTTAACTGCCTTGCTCTTGTACCAATGAACTGGATTTGAATAAGTTGAGACTTGAGTGTTTATAATAATTTTGATTGGTGCATCCTTAGTGATGAATTGCCCTACCATGAATGACATGAGCTTTAAGGTGCCCATACACAGTACGATTATCGTACGAGAATTGCTGGAAATCCCGCGATCCTACGATAATCGCAAAGTGTATGGAAAGCGTCTTCCTTCGAACAAGCAGGCTTGAAAACCTGCCGAGAATCGCACGATTCTCGGCGGGTTAGAGGCCTGCTTGTTCGACAACTGCCGAACGGGCCGGTGTGCGCACACTGCCTGTTTGCAGTCATCAGAAGCCCGCCCCCCAGGGGGGCGGACTTGCGATAATCGCAAGTATGATCTGCCTGTCCAAGATGGGCAGATCGTACGAGCTTTTAATAAGCTTACGACCGTCGCAAGATAAAAGTCTTGCGATGGTCGTAAGGTGTATGGGCACCTTAATAAAATGTGTGTTTATTACCAGGTAAACCTGGTTAAGCGGTCTCTTAACCCCTTAAGGACTAATAGCGCAATTATTCCGTCATGGGTCCTTTTAAGGGTTTCAGCTTCCTTCATGTGCTTAATGAGAACTTATATATGCATATGTCACGTCAAATTAAAGCCCTTTTTGTCCTTTAAAAAATGTGTTGGTGCGATAAATGAGAAAGATGGAAATTGCAGTTGAACACACAGCAAAAATTGATTTGGTCCTTAACTGAAGTACAAGCATCTGAAGCTTGGTCCTTGAGGGGTTAAAGAACTCCAATTTCTATACAGTATATTCAAAATTCTTTAAAGTGAAAGTCAAGGCAAATTGTTTTTAAGCTTTTTGCAATACTGATAAAATCACTTACAATAAATGCTGCTCCTTTTATGTTTAAAAGTTTGTTTCCTGCAGAATCAGCGGGTCCCCTGGGCACTGACTCTTATATCCTGTTTTAGGGTGGCTCCTCCCTTTTTAGGGTCCTATGGAGCCACCCATGTCTCTTCTAGAAAGCTGTGTGTGTCTCCACAAACATAGAGGCACAGCGAGGCAAGCCACTTCCCTGCTCCTTTCTCCCCACTCCACCAAGCTAGTAGATGGACAGTTGCTGGAGTCTGCTGTGTCCTTTGTGATCTTGTGCAGAACGGGAAGTTCAGGGAAGCCGAGCTGAGAGGGTTGGAGCCAGTTGCTTGGAAACATGATGACTAAGTGCTTATGCAAAAATGTAAAGGAATACTGCTATGGGCAATGTATATTGGTTTGATCTGAATTCATTATTGAAAAAAGTTTGAGAGTTTTTAATACTACTTTAAATAATTTTTAACCTCAGCTATTGTAATTGTCAGATCTGTCTTTACAATGGTTTGGCACACACTGCCTGTAAGTTAGTAATTGGTCTCACAATGAGAGAGCCATTTCTATAAGCTGATGGGCAGGAAGACAATATAGTCTTTTTTTAAATAAATTGATCTTGATCAACCTCCATTGCCCTCTGGAGCCAAAACTTAAATAAAACCAACAACCTTTCCCAGGAGAAAACTGTTATTAGAGTTGCCTGTCCTGTCTGGGCTGGTGCAGTATTCGCTCAAGTGATGACACCATTATTAGGTTGTGCATGTGTGTGGCGTTAAAGATGAGGTATGTACAAAACTGAGCATTTATCTCTATAAGCCAGATTACGAAATCCCTTAAGCTGACCATACATATTGCAGTTCAATTACCTTAAGATCTACCAATAACTTTTAAGTGGACCTGCCTGATTGCTTACAAATTTGATAGATTGTTTACATAGTTTTATTAAAGGGGAAGTATTGGAAGAGTAGAAGGTACAATACTGTGAACCGGTGTTTGACACTGGAGGTGTCACATGTCAACTCTACAGATCAAGAGCCGAGCAATCGCAAACCCATGATCGCTCAGCTCACAGTCTTCTCCCTGCATGGAAAGATGGCTGTCATTCACCGCTCCCCACAGGGATTCCCCCTCCCCTGTCTGTCGCTCCAATGAGCACTGGAGGAACAGAGAGGGGAGGGGGCGGGCACAGCAGGCTCTGGCTCTAGAGAGGCAAAGCCAGCTGTCAATCAGTCAGCGGGGGGGCATGGAGCGTGACAACATTGTCAGGACCTTTCCCGGCTGCAGTGCGGCTCTGTGCTGTCAGCAGATAGCATGTTGTAGCCCACTGTATGCTGAGTTTAATTCACAGGAGCACCTTAGTAAATGTACTCCTTTGACCCAAAAGAGGACTGAAGTCAAAAAGGTTTGGCCATAGTTCTCTATAAAAGGAGATCAGATTGTAACATACTGTATATGGTCAGGTTTAAGCTCATTGAGTACAACAGATTGTTTTTAGCTGCATCTCTGGATATGCCAATCATTTTCTATCTATTCGGTAACTCATTGTTCGTATGAGTCAGCTGTGTAGTTTGAGCCAATGTTGTAAATGAGTAATCTCCTTCATTCACCTCTGTGTAAGTGATGGGATTAATCATCAACAGGTACTACTGTGTGGTTAAACTTCAGCATTGTGCAGTCATGGGAGATTGCTAGCTTTATCACACTACTGCAAAGTTCTTGTGCAGCAGCTCTTATTAAAATGAATGAGATCTGAAGAAAGCATATGTGGCTTTAGCCCTGTGAATGACAATCTAAATAAACTAAAGGCTGTGAAGTAGAAACTGTAGAGGTATATCCCAGGTAAGCTCCGCATATACAGTTCTAGCTCATCCTGTAGCCGCACAGCTAAACCCGTATGTAGGAAATGGAGCCAAGGGAAACCAGGCAGGCTTTAGGGCTGAAAGGTCAACAACATATCACATATTTTCTTTGATGAGAGTATTCAAGTATGGAATAGCAATGCATCATCTGTTGATTTTAAAGCGTCCTATGATTGTGTTACTCAAAAAAAGCTTTAAATAGTTATAAAGGAATTGGCCATACCACACACGCTAATTAGAATAATTAAAGCGGAATAGTCGCTTGGCAAGTCTTATAATGTGGAAGAATACATAGTACACATGCAAATTATAGCAGACGTCTCTCTGGGTTTATGCTCCTCTACCAATAACAGCTCTGTGATCCCTGTTGCCGCTCCATTTGCTTATTTCAAGCAGTGTCTTGCCTCTTTGACCATTGAGCAGCCAGCAATAGTGTAACTCCTGCTCCTTACAGGCTGTAATAGATATGCATCCAGTCCTTGCCTAACGAGATGTATTCTTTTCAATGAGGATGTTATTGGGCAAACCATTAGTCACAATTACCATGGCAGATACTGCGCTATGCTGCTGATCTTGATGCAGAATCAAAAGTACATGTCTGGGTCTGAAAGAAAGGGAAAAGGCAAAAGCCTATTATTCATCATTACAAACCCTTGGCAGAAAGTTAATTCAGAGAAACATTTTCAGGAAGAAACTTTGCATGTGTAATGATGGACATTAGTTGTTATGGCCTGCTAAAAGCTTCTGTCCAGAAAAGGAATTATTTTGCTGCGCAAAACTCTAACACCAATTGTCACATACAGTAAATGACCTATTGTTACCTAAGGATGCAAGAATGCTAGGAGATCAGCAATAATACTCATTGGTAATTTATAATGAATTGTTCATAATAAATGGATGACGAAAGATCAATATAGAGCCCAGAAGCAAGACTAAGTGGAAGAAGACATATTGGCCAAGACACTATTTGGACGCATTGAAGAGGAATGTAGGGTAGATGGAAATGAGTTGGCCTGTGGCCAAAGAGAGAGGAGAATGGAGGAAGCTCCATTGTGCTGTTGCACTGATAATTATGTTACAAGCTTCCCAGCATGACTTTAAAAAGGATCAGTAGGACACTTAAAGGTACACTCCACCATAACCAGTAATTATCTACCTCCCCCAGTATGCATGCTGAAGCCCCAGCCTAGGCTTTCTGTTTTTCATCTAGAAAAGTTTTTTCTTCTGGTGGAGCCTCCAACAGGTAGAATCACTTGGTCATCAGATTTCTTCTACCGTGTGAACATCTGTGTGGCCACCTATATGAATGGATTCTCATTACTGTGCATTGTAGACTAGTCAACTGGTCTCCACACTGATTTTTTGATTGGAGCCCAGACATGCCTTATGTCCCCCTTCTCCAGCACGCCCCCCAGTAAGAGGAATATTCAGTCTACCCTCAGAGCAGGATAATTGCCCAGACTATGCAACTGTCATGAAAGTAATACAGAGACTCCCATTATGGAGATCCCCTCTTACAATGCTAGCTGCCTGGCTGTCTCTGTCTTCAATACGATGTCACAAACCGTAAACGTGCATGTCGCAACTGAAGTCCAAACTCCTGATCTCACATACTTGGTTTTAGTAGCTGAAAAGTATTTAAGCCAGTGGGCCAGCATGACACCCAGCTATTGTTTTCAGAAGGAAAGGGAGCCCTGGTATTCCAAGGTTTAAAAGAAATATATACATTTAATGTTCTGAGAGAAAGGAGGAGATGAGTCAGCATAGACAATGCTACCAGCCTACGGCTCCTCTGCCATCAGTATCCTTCCCCCCGAAACCAGGAA